AACACTCGACTGAATTGGAGTACTCACGTATGATTGCCCTCCTAGAACAGTGGCTTTACTGAGTGACATGTGGATAACCTCGTCACAGATCCCAGATATTATTTCTAAATTAGTCTCCCATATGGCAAGTGGAGGTGATGGGATCCAAGCCGTCGTTTTAAGGAAGTGTGCTCCCGAGCTGACTCCAGTTCTCTCCAAAATCTACAACTACTGTCTCGCTGCTTTCATGCTTATTGCAAGTCCTCCTTTGTAGTTCCTGTTTTTAAGAACTCTGGAGAACCTTCTGACCCCTCTAAACACAGTCCCAATTTTACTTATCCATTTTTTTTTAATTTTGTCCATCACTGATCCAAGGGATGCTCACAGAAATTATTATTATTAGTCGTAGTAGTAGTAGTAATAGTAGTAGTAGGCAAGTGAAATATGTTTTTTTTTTTTTGTTTCCCCTTAATTAAAAAAAAGCCAGCCATTAAAAAAAATAAACAAAGCTCTTCGTGAGATATGGGGTGTGCTTGTTCGAAGTATTTTTTTAAAATTTCCTGGACTGATGCTATACCGGAGATTTTGTTGATTTGTTCTTGAGTTTCTTTGTTTATCAGACCCAGAGCTCCAACCATAACAGGAACAGTTTTAGTTATTATTATTATCATTATTATCATCTTCTTGGATTTCTGTTTTATGCACATTTTCTTCCGAGTCCAAACCAGAGACCTAAGGTCAGAAATAGCTTCATGACACTTTACATAGATAAAGCTCTTTGTAATGTGTCAGCTGTATTTGTGAGTACAAGTTTTTCTATTTCTTTAAGGCATGAGCTACCAGCAATCCCTTCAATAAGATTATTGGAACTGTTTTCCAATCAATCCGAAGGTTCCAGCTTCAACTGGAATTATTGATGCCCTCATGTACTACAGGTTTTAGATTTCAACTTCAAGATCCTTGTATTTTGATAGTTTTTTTTTTTTTGAAGCTCTTGCAAAGATACATTGCAATGTACAGGGAGAGCCATGTCAATAAGAAAGCACATCATGTTTTTGTGGTCTTTGAATACGATGTCTAGGCGATTAGCTTTGATTGTTCTGAGTGGATTGCAAAGCTCTATAAAATTGTTACAGGTCCTATCTCCGTAACCGCGTCTAGGTGATGTTCGTACCAGTTTCTTTCAGTTTCGTTGCCATTATTATTATTATTATTATTATTATTATTATTATTATTATTATTATTTTCTTTGATTTCTGGCGTTTACACATTTCTTTCCGGTTCCTGCTCAGGGACCTAAGGTTAGAAATGGCATCATGACACTTTTCACTGACAAAAAAAAAAAAAAAATTACATAGATAAAGCCCTTCGTAAAGTGTGGGCTGTACTTGTCAGAACAGTTTTTTGTATCTCTTTGAGGCATGGACTTCCAGGAATCCCTTCAATTAGTCTATTGAATCTTTTTCCAACCAATCCTAGGGCTCCAACTACAACAGAGATTGTTGATGTTCTCATGTGCCGCATTATTATTATTACTATTATTATTATTATTATTTCATGTACTTTCATATTGCTGCTAGACGTGTGGTCATCATCGTCGAAGATCAAATGACAGCAAGTCTCTTTACATCTTCAACACTCTTCTTAATATCTTCGCCAACCCAGGCAAATGGTCTGCACTTGTCTACTTATCCAATCTCGATTTTACTGTTTTTGCACAGTTTTAAATATATCTCCTGTTATTGTCTGAATTTTTATTTTCTATTATTTATCTTTCTCAGCTCCCGGCCAAGGTCCTTGTAGTATTTTTCCAAATTTTCGCATTCTCTGTGATTTACTCTTTCAATCTCTCTGGCAAGTTCTTTTTTCTTCTTTATACAATATTGTTTACTTTGGTCTTTTGCTTGGATGTGATGGTCGGTCTGGATGTCGAAATCACAGAGTATTTTGCAGATTTTTATTTCCCCACGCAGATTCTGTTTTATGCCAATAAATATTTGTCTACGTTATTGGAATCCCCTCACTTTAAACAGGTCATATTATTATTATTATTATTATTATTATTATTATTATTATTATTATTACACGTATTTGAATGTTCCCACCATAAGTTTCATGGTTATAGGTAGAGATAGAATGAAATTAAGTTACCTATGGTGGAGTAATCGATAGCGGCGAAGAATGAGGAATCGGAGAGCCGAGTTCGAATTCTAGTCGAATTCTTTACATTCACTTACGTACCAGTAAAGTATGAATCCTCTTCTTCTAAGGACAGGCCGGGTTTTATAGCTTTGAATGACAACTGGTCAAACGCAGAAAGAAATGGCAACCTAGCGCGGGAAAAAATCAGCCTCGTCAGTCATGTATCGAAACATACATGATAGCGTTTATCTAAGTGATTATCACGCTTAGATAGACGCTGACAAGTCTCCTGCTTTTTCTTCAGTATATTCACAGACCCCCTTAATGCCACAATTACTAATTCGTCAAATACGGGTTCAACCGTAAGCTGTATGATTCAAAACTTTCTCAGTTCCCGGTGGAGGTCCTGGTACTGTAAAGTAGAAATAGTCGCAAGGAGCGAAATCTAGGAAATTTGGTGTTTGTCAGACCTGTGGAATGTTGTCCTCGGCCAAAAACTGCTGCACAAGCTGCGCTGAATGGGCAGCTGCTTTGTTATAGTGGAGTTGCCACTCAGCGGGCGCATGCAATTCTTTTCCGACGAACAGCAACCCACAAACGCCACAACACATCAAAGTAGTATTCCTTGTTTATTGTCTGACCAGGCAGAACATACTCATGATGAACAATTCCCTTGCAATCGAAGAAAACTATCAAAAGTGTCTTCACATTGTTTCGACTCATTCGAGGTTTCTTCAGTCTCAGGTTGGTATCTTCGTCTGCAAATACTGAGCTTTGGTTTCGGGATCATAGCCATAGACACACGATTCGTCATAAATTATGAACGTTTTCAAAACGTTTTCTGTCGTGTGGTGAGACGACCACACGCTACACACTTTCCTTCCAAGCGGTGCTATGAACAACAGATGTGATCGAGAACGTTATAACTTAGTGTGCATGTGCGACAGAGTTCAAGGTCAACCTGTACGAAACAGCTTCACTCTGCGAACTTTAGCTTTATTACCATAACAACAGACCCGATAACTTTTTTTTTTTTAATCAGAAATCGTAAATAGAAAAGAAGAGAAAGGGATGTCAACAAAGAGGAACGGCTTTACTGAATGGGTATCAAGATATAATGCGCGAAAAGTAAGGATGAAAAGACGTTAAAATTGCACTAAATTAAAATTCCATGTGGAAAGATAAAGCAAATAAAAGATGAGAGAGGAAGCAATATAAAGTATTTTTATATTCATTTTTTCCTTCGCTTATAAAAGAAATCCACGTTCTTGTTACATTTAGATAAAAAAGAAAAAAAAACATTGGTGGGTAATGAATGTGGGAAAAAGGCTATTTATAGCCCGCAATCAAGTGGATAGCACGTGCCTTCAAATCGAGTCTTCTCCTCGAAATTTATGTTAACTTCAATAGTTCCAAAGTCCGAATTTATTTTCCCCTTCTTTCGTCTTTATACGAGTCTTTTAAAATAACCCCTCACTGGTGGCTATGAGCAAATCACCCGCTTTCGTATTGCACAGTTTCCGCTTCCCTCGAGGAAGATCACGGTACTTGTTTACTTGGGCTCTTTCAATTTCCATGTGCAAATAAGGCAATATAATGACTGGCTGCTCGCTTCCAACTAATCCCCGTTGCAGACGTCTGCTCAAGAACATTTGTGTTTGTTCCACACCCACAGAACCTAATTTTGGTTTATACTACAACTATACTGAGCAGACCTTAGTTCCTGTTTCTAGAAGAGAGTGAATAATCTGGTGTGATCAACAGTTGAACAACGCCAACCCTCGGACACGATGACTTGTGATTTTCTGCTAGCACATCCTTTGAGGGCTTCGCAACGGTTGTGTCTATCTAGCTTCATTTGCGAGACTAGGATCAAACTGTTGTAAGATTTTCAGTATTTTCTCATCATGTCGCACGTTGGGATCGCTGATATTCTCATAAGGTTACCTTCCTGATAAATCAACAACGACGAGATTCGAATGCAATCCTTTAAGTAAACGCATCCACTGCTAAATTCTTGTCTGATTTTTTAGATGAAGAATTGCCATTAAAAATTATTTTATTGTCACTATTGTTCTCATAGTGTTTGCTTTAAATGTTATTATAGGCACAACGTTTCGGCTGTTTAACCTGTGGACATCTTCAAGTGTCTATATGTAATGAATATCTAATAATATAACAGGGGTACCTGGGCATGGAATAATGAGTAGTAATTTTACTCTGTCTGGTCATTACTAATGAGTAGTGAGTTCGATCCTTCTTGGTATCCGATACAAAATTCGACTTTAAATAGCTTAACAAACATTGTGACGTAAAACTAATCAATTTGAAAAAGTACGGATAAAAATCCTGAAATAGATGAGAGAAATGTTATTCATATCCTTAATGGTAATATTAATGGTAAAATTAAGCGTTTCCATACGGGAAACATTCGGCAATCATTCACCAAGCTGTCGGTTGAAATTTATAAAATCTATATATTAAAACATTTTATCAGGAAGATAAACTTCTGGACTGCACTGAATGTTTCAGCTCTTTCTTATTTTAAATGGGAGTTTCATTCCAATCGTTTTGTTTTTTTGTTGGTCGGCTGGTTGGTTTTGCTTAGCGGCATATTAACATCGCTATGGGTTATTTAATGCCGAAATCTAAATATTTTGTACACAATTTTTTATTTTATTTTGAGAGAAGAATTATTTACTGATACAAGTTTTACTAATTAACCCATAGTTAGAGGGAGGAGAGGTGGATTCATATCTTTCCCAATTTTTTTTTTTTTTTTGCGCGTGCAAGTGAATATACCGAATTCAACAGGAAATGTAACTCGGCTCTCTTATTAACAATTCCGAGCCATTATCCATTACACCGCCCAACCTTAGAGCACCTGGTATTCCCAAGCAGTCACCCACTTAAGTACTGACCAGGTTCAACGTTGCTTAACTTCGGTGATCGTACGGTAACTGGTATTTCAACGTGATGTGGCCGTAAGCCATTTTTTTTTTCGTGGTATGGAAAGTTAACAGTTTGATATATCATTATTGTTTTTTTAGTTGTATGCACAACCTATTTATTTATTTTTTTATCTTATTTTTTTGTTGCTGCAGTTGGTGTAGGTTTTGTCATTTTAAAAAAAATCTATTTGTTGTTTTGTAGCGCCAATCAATATGGCCTTATAAAGTATCGTCTTCTTTAAGATTTATAGAATTTAAAGCATTTGATAATGATTGATATGAGAAAACAGTTGTATACAGATCAGAGTTTAGATGTTTCTGAAGGAGTTGAGCGTCATGCATAACATCTATATGAAAGTCTCGGTTTGACTAGGCTATTTAAGAACATGACTTTTTGGTTTTTAGTAGAATATTTTAGTTTCGTAGCATCTTACAGTACCGGACAAAAGTACCCCTAGCGCAAACTACCCTGTATTCGACTACTTTACCTTCTATACTAAATTTGGTAAAACTAATTCTAATCTTCAGAGGGAGTGACTTTTTGCACCTTCTGGGGCTAACGTCCATCGGCTGACATGAAGTGGAAACACTACATTGAACCCATTTCTAGGTCTGCTGCTAAGAAAATTGGTTTACTGTGTCATGCTAGACAATTTTTCTCCCCAGACGATATCTTTCCTATCAATACGTCTACCATTCGTCCATTCTTAGAATATTGCTGCCACATATGGTCCGGTGATCCTGCTATTTATCTAGAGCTCCTTGATAAAATCCAAAGAAGAATCAGCAATATTATTGGCCGTGATCTGGCATCTTGACTTCAGTCACTTTTCCACCGCTCATCGCTATGGTGCTTATACTCTTTGAATTTAAGCGCAGTACTAGACTGACGATGTGGTCTCATCAATTTACAGTTGTTAGATAGATGTAACCGTAAGTTCTCTGCTGACAGTTTCTTCTCTCGCACTTCTCGCTTGTGAAACTATCTTCCGGCTTTTTGCTTCCCAGTCAATTTTGATCTTCAAAAATTTAAATGTAATGCTAATCGTTATCTACTGTCCTCCTGATTACTCTTTTTGTTATTGCTCAATAGTAATTGCTGCAACCTAGAGAAGTTTACTAAATAGAATAATCACACGGAGGTTGGTAATGAATGATGATACTTAGGACAAGAACACCACATATAAGATTCATCAGCGGTGCGTAGAAGTAGTCAACTGTTAGAAGTGAGTCAAGTGAATTCCACAATGAAGATATTCACTAACCTCCCCATGCGGTCAGATATGGCACAAGGCCGAATTTAATGTAGAGCGAACCGAGTCCGTGGTCTCGGGCAAAAATTCACTGCAGACCCCGTAAAAACGGGGTCGGGTACCTGTCTACAATCCCCAGACGAGACTCTGCCCTTCGATATAGCCTCGCCTGAGTTCCTCTCTGCCCTGTGGCAGAGAGTTTGACAAAGTACACTTAGAAGTGAATTCCACAGTAAAGATATTCACTAACCTTCCCACGCGGTCAGATGTGGCACAAGGCCGAATTTAATGTGGGGTGAACTGAACCCGTAGGCTCGGGTCAAAAATTCCCCGTAGACTCCGTATACACGGGATCGGGTAACTGTCAGCCTCCATTCGGCATAGCCTCGTTTAAGTTCCTCTCTGCCCGGAGGCAGAGAGTTTGGCAAGCACACCGAGAAGTGAATTCCACAGTGAAGATATTCACCTACCGCTCCACGCAGTCGGATGTGGCACAACGCCAAGTTTATTGTGGGGTATCAAAAACGGGTTCGGGTAGCTGTATACCACCCCAGACGAGATTCTGCCCTTCAGCATAACCTCGTCTGGGGATCCTCTCTGCTCGGAGGCAGAGAATTTGACAAGCACACTGGGAAGTGAATTCCACAGTAAAGATATTAACTCACCGCCCCACCCGGTCGGATGTGGCACAAGACCGAGTTTATTGTGGGGGTACCGAATCCGTAGGCTCGGCCAAAAATTACCCGTTGACCCGGTAAAAAACGGGGCCGGGTATCTGTCTTCCACCACGAACGAGACTTTGCCCTGCGGCATAGCCTTGTCTGGGTTCCTCTTTTCCTGGAGGCAGAGTTTGACAAGCACACTGTGGAAGATCACAGTGAAGATATTCACTAACCGCCCCACGCGGTCAGATGTGGCACAAGGCCGAGTTTATTGTGGGGTATCCCGTAGGCTTGGACAAAAATATCCCCGTAGACCCCATAAAAAACGGTATCGGGTAGCTGTCTACCACCCCAGACGAGACTCTGTCCTTTGGCATAGGCTCGTCTGGGTCCCTCTCTGTCCGAAGGCAGAGAGTTTGACAAGCACACTGTGGAAGAATCTCCAACCACAGACCGAAATGCTGTATTTATGTGAATGGTGACATACCCATTATCGTCCGTAGGTATGCAACAGCAGTAATATTTCTGTTTTCTAATTCTTCCACATCCTGTAACCCCCTGTGCCTTAGTTACTTTATTGCCGTGTCGTGCTTGGGGCTAACTCGATTAAAAAATAAAATATTGATCCATACACCGAGGTATTTGAAGCGTTTTGAATTTATCAATTCCACATTCTAAATTTTTATGATGAATTCAGGGTAGGTGATATTACTGTTCATATTCTAATTCCATATTATAGTTTCTACTCTGGAAAAACTTTGTAAAGAATGTTGATCCATATTGATCATAGAATGCCGTAGTATAAGCAATCAATCAACGAACCATCAATTATAAAATGATGTTTTTTTTTCCTGCCTCTATTTTTCCCAAGTATTTTGTTGATTTTTGTAAGTATTTGCAACAATATTTTCTTGTTTATATTCACCAGACCAGTGAATAAAAGCGTTGGTTGGATCCAGTGATTTGACTCAAAGAGTTGGGAGTTCAATACCTGGCTACTGCATTGGTGAACAAAAACTAGGAGAGATTAGTTAAATGGAGATAACTGAGACATCCGGAAGAGGCGTGGTACGTGGAACTAGAACAATTTACCCCGGTGGACGATATAAAGGGTTCAGTTCGATATTCCAATCACCTTAAGGTAGCCAGAGCGTACAATGACGGAAACGTCGTCAATATGGCAATAAAGATGAGGACAACAGTCCGAACAGTGTAAATAATTGTAATACTCAAAAATATAGGCAGAAATAGTTTCTTGATATTTACTAAGCTTTTCTTTGTAAAGCATATGACAAAGGAGAAAAATTCTGGTTATGAAGATTATGTTGCGCCAATGTCCCAATTGTGGTAGATCTTTCCTCCTTTCCGCATGGAATATGCAACTATCTCAATAACCAGGTAGGACCTTATAGATATTTACTATGCTTAGTATATTCTTCTTATGTGCCGTGTCCCTTCAAAGCGTAAGCGATCATGGCCCTCCACATCTTCCTGCCTCTTTTAGTTCTTAAAAAGTGTGTATTTTTGTTATTTCTCCCAAACCCTGTTATACCATTCATTTACTCAAGCTCGTCAAATATGTTATGAGTTGTTTTCCTCTGTCACTCGTTCCATCAGTCCGTCCTGTGAGTATCAGATTTTCCAAGCCCTCCTTCCTCATTACGTTCCCCAGAAATTTCAATTACCTCTTTCTGATGTTAAATATAAGTTTCCTTTTTTGTTTCTATTCTCTCCAAAACCTTGTTGTCACTCACATGTTTGGCATATGGTATCCTCAGCGTCTTTCTGTAGAACCACATTTTTGTTGCTTCAAGTCTGTTCTTCGTCTTTGAGGAGATTGTCTAGCATTCGGTGCCATACAGGAGGACAGATATCACGTAACAGTTCAGTACTCTTTTCTTTGTTTCTAACGAAATTATTCTATCTCTTGATACTCTCCTTAGCTTTTTGAATGCATCAAATACGTCTTCGGGTCTTCGTATCGTACTTTCTGTCCTCTGTTAGAACACTTCCCTGATATTTAAATGTTTTATACTTGTTTGATTTTAACATCCCCGATTTGCATTTTGGGCTCATCCATTTGCTGACAACCATGCATTCAGTCTACTTATAGTTTACACTTAGTCCTTTCTTCTCGCTTTCCTTCGCTACCTTCTGTAGGGGCTTTTTGTAGTTTCCGAGTTTAGTATAGTCTAATGTAAAAGCCACAAGTATGGGCCACCCAGTGAGGCTTGAACTCTATACAGGAGTAACATTCTGCGAAACTGGCTTGCTAACTATTGCTCTGCGGCGAGTCGCTTTTTCTCTCTCTCTTTCTCTCTCTCTCTCTCTCTCTTTCTCTCTCTCTCTCTCTCTCTCTCTCTCTCTCTCTCTCTTCTCTCGTCTTCTCTTCATCGTTTTTCTTTCTATATTCCCCTGTCTTCTCCACTTCATCATCGCCAAATTGCCTCATCATCTTCAAAGGTTCACTTCTTTTGCGATGTATTCGCTTCTGCGAGAGGAGATTAAATAGCGGCAAGGCGCTGGAAAGACGCTCTCAAAAGAGAAAACCTGATAAGGCGAAACGGGACATGAGGTAGAAGCTTACACACACACACACTATATATATATATATATATATATATATATATATATATATATATATATATATATATATATATATTATACTCCAAAAAATCTTAATGATTAAAAAATGTAAAGTCTTACAAGTTTTAGGTAAACATATTTTTGATGCATCAGTAAAGAGTTTAATTAGTTTACGCAATAATTTTTTTTTTTTTTTTTTTTAATTTTTGACAGCACATTTAATATTCAGACGGCATGTTGATATCGTCACCTGGTGTGTATGAAATACGATACAGTCTACATAAATGTAAATACCTAACGTCCTTGTTTACCTGTAGATCAAGATTAATAGATAGATATATATTTCATGTTTTTTCATGAATAGAAAATATTTTCTCTAAAAGTAAACAGTGTAAGGTTAAATAGTGATTTGCTAAGCGTAGCTTAGTTGTGGCACAAGGCTGAAATTATGGGGTACCCAATGAAGATCGAATTGAACTAGCGAGACAAAGTTGGCTAACCATTACACCTCGCCGAAGTGCCAAGTGAAACGTTAA